AATGAAAGGAGGCTGTTGTATATTAACAGCCTATAATAAAAGATAAATAAATTTTAGGGCCATGTGTGGTCCGTTTTCAAAGGTCTACCCTTACACAGATAACATAATATTACGAGTAATAACTTCAGGGGTAATATTATTATAGATCAGTGGTAGTTGGGATAAATAGGGTCAGCGGCGGTACACTGTAAAATCGGCACCGATTTTGCTGTACACAAGGCGATCTAGGAAGCGAACCAGTACGCTCGTTACCTGATTCAATAGTGCCTTAGATTAGTAAAGAACATTTACTAAATGACATATTGTATGTCTACCGATATTATATCAGTGAATATCAGAAACACTCATGTCTTAGTATCTATAGTCCTAGCGAGGTAAAAAGACATAGGAAATTAGTTAATGTCTAATTATATTAGGACACGAATAGGTATGAATATGAATATGTCCAGAACGCCTTCACTGCAAAAGCAATTAAAAGTTTTCTAACACAATATAGTTTTAGTCTAAAATACTACAGCCTGTGCTACAGCGTATGCATGATGTACGTCGATGTATCGATCGATGCTCCGAAGTACATTCCAACTAATCAGCACTTCGTAAATTAGTTTCTGCAATGTGTGTGTATGTATAGGTACTTAAGTATCTAATCTATGAGCGTAACATAAAATTGACTTACATGCATCTATTAAAATTAGGGTGATAGGTGTCTAATACTTTAATGTAACAAATAGAGTAGGTACCTATTGATAAAAAAAATAAAAGATGCTATCTACCAATTTTTTTTTAATATTAAAAGCTTTTAATATTCGTATACTTACGTGATTTCATCACTTTCGTCTGAATAAGGAAGTCTCATTTATACCCTTCGCATAAGCAAAATACATCAAATCAGGGCTATTTTATTTATTAAAAGAAATTTCATTTGTCCTAACTATTCTCTCCAAACCGTTTTATAAACGTGAACATTTCAGATGTTCTAATAGCTGTTTAAATGCTGTGGAAAAGTGGAATCATAGTCACATAGCATGGTAGTTGGCTATAGGAAGTGAGGGATTGATGCGTTCAGTAGGTAGATATGTCTTGAGAGTGACCTTTATTCTATTCCTAACGATTTGTATATCATCAGCATATGCTGATGATATACAAATCGTTACTCGATCGAGCCAAAAGCTAAACAAGAAAGATAAAAGACAGTCAACATCCAATAAGTACAATGTTATACATGTTTTAGGCTTTTTTCTGTAAAATAACAGTACGGAAAGTGATTCCTTGATTGAATCATAAAATAACAATAATAATATAAATATACCGCTGTTTCTCCGCTTACTTTTCCGAAACCATGGAATCTATTTTTATACGATTGATAACTGTGAATTGTTGTACTTACTTAAAGCACAGATAATATAATACCTATTAGGTACATAGTTAGAGGTAGATTGGTAGACATTGCTGGTATCATAAATATAATAAACGCCACGCACACGACCTCTGTCACATACACTGTAATCTATCATCCACATAATTTTGCCGAATACCTACTCGTGAACAAATCTACATATACTTTTTTGTTTTTTTAAGTACCTAATTTGAATGACAAAGAGGATGATGCACCGCCTAGTGTTAAGTGGCAAATATTGCCTACATGAAGAGCCACGGACATCGCTTCCATCACGTGACATCCATTGTTGGTAGCCCTCACGCTTTGAAATATCCGGGGACTAAGATGTTATGCCTCCGTACACTGTAATTATACTAGACATTGGCTTATCTCACTATCCAACCGAATTACTTATACTGTAATTTTTCTATGATTATCACATGAAGAATACAACGCGCGAAATACAGTTATGAAATAAATCTGTTAGACACATAAATACGTTGTACGTGTCTAAACAAAGGTTTAGTGTATCGAGTTATAAATCGTATTGTATGGCAACAAGTACTTTTAATCACATCATTGAAGACATGAAAAATTATAACATACCTTACTTCAAACGTACTCTTTTTTAATAAACCTTATTACTCCTAAGTCATTTTTTGACCGGAAAGGACCGACAAGGAAGCTTGAAATTTATTTAGATACAATTTATTATTGTACATGCGTTAGTTATCGGATTGTTTCTTAATCAACGTTATAAATATATTTAATTTTGGGTATGTGTAAAAATTAAGTGAATATAGTAGTTTAATACTTAAAGAATATTTAAAATCATGTTTTCCATAACATCTTGTACTGTACCCGAAATCATTCACAAATTACTTATTATTATTTTCAGATGAGGCTCCAGTGAATGCCGAGAATGGGCCGCAGCTCGGCCGCAGTGGACTCCAACGGAGAGCTAAGGGTACTGCTGGTGGTCACTGTCGTGGTTGGGCTGCTGCTTATGTTATCACTACTCATGTGTTATGCATGTGTCCTTAAAAGATTATGCTGCGGCACTCCTAGGGAACGAACTAAGAATGTTGGATGTGCAAGAAGAACCGAAAGCTATCCGATGGGAGACGTAACTTTACTATCACAACCCACTGAAAGTGAACGGGTTTAGACATTATAATCTTTACATAGTATCAAGTCGCCGCTGCTGTCTGTATGCTCTTTTAAACTACATATGGTTTTCAGTTTTCAGCAATACAATAAGAAGGCTTATATGTATAACGCATATATTATTATTATATTACAGTACAGTAAACCGAGAAAATCAAAGAATTGTAATGCACCCTTGTAAAGTCGAGACACTAGTGTATAATAAGTTTATAATTATATAAATCATTCGATGAAGTTTTTATATGACGATTATTGAAATGCTAAATCGGTAGATACATTTTTTATGTATAATACTTTTACTTAAAGTATTTTATGCCACGTTCAGTTTGTCTTTATAAAATGACAATCTTTATTATTTTTGCTATATGTATTTAAAAATAATAACACTTATGTTTGTGAAACAGAATTATATTTTATACAAATATGTAATATGCATTTTATATTATAATGCAAATTATTTATACAAGGCACTGATATTGTCGTTGTACAATCCGTATTAAATATGTAAATAATATAATAATCTTTTAATTGATTATAGTAGACTAATTAATTATAATAACAATCGTGTTACATCACATAATCAATATTTGTAACAGTAAAAACAATAAACCATATATACATAGTATTTATTTTCTATACGAACAAAGTAACAACAGAAATGGATAATTTATTTATAAAACTATTTATTAATAGCTAATAATTTACTTACTGTTATATGAATCTAATCATATTTAATATAAACTCATAAATTCTTATTTTTAATTACAGCACGTCAACTCTTCGTACACATTTGCGTACTCTAAAGAGATAAGACGTATGATAGCGTTTTATAATACTAGTAATTTAGTATTACGTGCCTTTCAATGTATGCAGTATCAACGTAGCAACGGGTATTTTAAAACGATTAAAATCGATTCCAGGGAGGAATTCTTGCCGCTACATTATCTCTTGAACATACATCTCTTGGGAGTATTAACTTTGCTTTCTATATGCATCAAGGATTCATTATATATCCCACTTCGCATTGAAGTTGACGGTATGCAATTAAAACATAGGCAGCCTGAGGGGCAGAGTCTCTCCCAGCCCCGAAGTTTGCTAGTAATGGGGATTAAAGACCCCATTGCTAGCAACATATATCTAGTCGACCTCCACAATACCCGTGGAAATCATTGTGGATAATTCTAGGTGCATTCTACTATAATTATATATCTAAATAGGCGAACAATTATTTTATAAAACATATATATGTATAAAAAAGCCACTAGTACGGCTTTCTTTCAGAAATATCATAAGCTTTTTTTTATATTACTATGACCTATAATTGAACACATTTATTAGGTATTTACTTTATGTAGATAAGCAATTAAAAAGTTGGAGCTGTTTTAAATATAACTATGTTCATGCTTCTTCGTTTACGTATCTATAAATAAACAGCAACTATGCGTTAATAGAAGAAAAGAGGCTGAAACATAGTTATATTTACACTTTACTTATTTTAGTCGACATTAATTCTCATTACCTACTATTTACATGCAAGGCATTTCCGTATATATTGCTATTGGTACTAACCAATTAACCTTCATTAAACAATCTGACTAATTGTTTAGGTAATCAAAAATAGAATATCAACATATATAAGCAAGAAACACTTTTCAACTTAAGCATTAAATTTTATCTCCCAATCTTTAGAAAAGTCCTGATACCTATGCTTTGTAAGATTATTAATAGTTAATTTATTATTTAAGACAGTATTTAATGTTTCTTTTTATTCTCAACAGACCGTAGACTGAATTAAAATCTTTCTTGTTATTAACATATATTTTAGAAGATTCTAATGTTTTTGAGCTTTGACCAGCACCATATGAGTAATTTAAAGAAAAGCCATAAGAATCATACAAAAATTAGTAACCTCCTTAGGCTAATCAAATAAATCTTATATACTAACTATAAAACTTTGGCTAGGAATTGTTAAAATGGCGTTCAGCCCTATTTTTGTAAGAAATCATTTCAGTGGCCCCACCATTACAATCACAATACAACGTCCTAGAGAGGGTACCAGACTATTGTTGGGTAGGTACTGCCACACCAACACGTCCCATTTCACGCCAATATATATTAATATAATATTAAAAAAAAATACCCTTATTAATTAGCAAACTAAAACTTTATACAAATAATAAGAATTAATCAATCTGTCTGAAGTTAATCTATTACTACACATTTCAATTGAATAAAAGTATTTATTACAAACTTTACGTTCTAATAAAGAAAATTTGTAACAGTAAATAAGGTACTACAAACAGTACCTTATTTACTTTATTCTACAAGGTTAGTCGGAAAGTGTATGCAAAGCCGAAATCCAGTTAGAATACTCGTGAAATTTATGAAAAAATAATTTGTAATTTAAAATTATTGACAATTTTAAATTAATTACGAATTATTCATTATAAATTAATGACGTGACGGTCAAGTCACTTTTGTATGAGTATCAAATATAATTTTGAAAAAATTTGCTTCTTTGGGAAATCATTTTTATGAATACTATCACTATCACTGGTTTTTTAGTATACCCTTTATGACTAAACCTGCATGAATGACAATTTTGTTTGAATAATTATTCAAATCTTATGCATCTAAAATTGACAGAACTTATCAACCTTGCTGCTTTATGGCGATAGTACACTAAAATATATTTTTTTAAACTAAGAGACTTCAAATTCACTAGTCGTTAATTGCGAAGATAAATGTTTGGCTATAATGGCATCTAATTGTAAGTACTTTGTATATTTTTCAAAATATATCAAGGAGTGTAGTTTTGCTCTCTTAAGACATCGTGCACCATGGTTCTCAGCGACTGCGGCTTACAATACTCCTCAAGCCAGTTAAATACACCTCCTGAGAACTCTGCGAAGTTATTCGTGGGTACGGACTCGAAGGAATCAAATAACTTATCCATTATACCCTGAAACTGAAAAATATTTATTTTTACTCTAGACGCAAATATAAATATGAAAATGTTAAAAAATCCTCTGTTGCTTCACTACTGAAGATGTAAAGTCATCTACGCCGATATCTGATGACGACGAACGATACATGATAGTTCAGTTCATGTATATAGGGGACAATACTACTTACCATCAGGCTCATCAACGGAGCTATTATTATTAATAAAGATAAGCAAAAAATATTAAAATTAATAATTAAGTACATACATACTTAACTTAATGAAATTACATATATATTGAAACTCATATTAAACAGTATGAGTATATTAATAATGCTATTAACCAAACAGGTAAAGGAGAATAGCTAATATTACGATTTACAGGTATAGAAACTTACCACTTGGAACTTGTCCTGATCAGTAAGCCTCTGCTCATTAAGGCCAGGTACAGAGTGCTGTGCTTTCACAATCTGTTCATAATTAGCCTGCATTATACGCAGAGCTATGACATCTTTGTGAAGAGCTTTCCGTTCTTCTTCCTGTCGGCGACGTTGTTGTAACAAGTATTGTATATAGTCTATTGATTTTTGAAGGACCTGGAATATAGAAATTTATTTTTCTTCATATATTAAAGAAAATCCAAAAAAAGGAAAGGATGCATGCTGTCAAGGATAAGGGTGAAATAGGATGAAATCCTTTTACACCATATAATAAAGAGAATATTAAATAAAAATAATTTTGTATATTCCTAGGATGTATGTGAAATAAATAATTTTTTTTTATCTTTACATACTATAAAATCGTAAATTTGTGACGCCATAAGAACTGTTTGTTTGTCAGTTTGATTGTTAAGCCACGTAAATACAGCTGAAGGAATTAGGATGAAATTTTCATAGAACATGTTCTTGAATGTGTGTAAACAACATAGGGTAAAGACAGTCAGAAAAACAAAGAGTGAGTGATATCAATGATGCAACTGGAGGGATTAATGATTCATGAATTTTTCACAAAGTGAAGAAAATTAATAATAATAAATCAAGGCACCTAACCAGATCTTGTATTTGGATGCTAGACACCTGACACAAATACTTTAATACATTTTTTCAAACACAAAGATACAAAGAAAACAATATAATCAATCAATACAAACAATCATATTCAGACCTATTAAAAGAAGAGTATATGTTTGTACCGAGTAAGGAATCAAACCCACAACCATCAGAAACAAGATGCTGTGCTATACCACTAGAACACCACTAGTACACATATAATAGTATATTTCATAAGTAAATTTCATTCAAAAACCATCAATATTTTCTAAAACATATACACAATCACAATTATTTAAGAGAATGCATTACTTACAGCTGCTTTGCTTGGTTTATATCCAGAGGCATCTGTTTGTTGACAAGTAGGAACTAACTCTTGTAATGAATCATAACCCTTTTTAATAGCATCTCTTCTTTTCTGTTCCGCCTGAAATACAAATAAGCAGGATATTATACCTTCTCTAAATTTATTATTTCTTTCAATAGAAAATAACCTACAAACATTATTAGAACCCATCAATTCAATCAACTGCCATTTAAAATTCATACAAAGTGACAATGGTAGTACTATAAAGGAAAAAAAAAAATAACAAAGTGTTTTGCAGTTGCAAATAACTTCCAAACATATTTTACATACCTGTGTGTGTGCTTCCCTTCGTCTTTCTTTAAAACTAATTGCAGAAGCCTTGTTGTCCCCACTGTCATCTTCATCTTCTAAAAAAGTAAAATATGCTATATTATAACCGACAGTTTATCTTATTTTTATTACCATACTTAAACACTACCCTAACATATATACTAGAACATTTTAAAAATGTAAACACATTATACAATTTTATACATTATGACATTTACTTTTATTCCTCAAGATTGATATTTAAAATTAACAAAGAGGAAAAGTAATTTATTTTAATCTACAGACTGTAAAGATTAAATACTATTCGATATCCAGGACAGACAAAGTTCTCATATATATATCTCATATATAAATAGATATGTCACAATAATAAGTAAAGAATGCTTTAATTATTACTATATAACACTGTTATTTATACTATATTATACTAACAGTAGTTATACTGAGTAACATGTTAGTGACCTAGAATTTGCAAACTATATGATGTGTGTTTATTTTTTATATATATTATTTGTGAATAGCTTACATTGATACAATTCTCTGATACCACTACAGTAGCTCCTAGAAGCCAAATGACGCAGATGAGATTAATCCCTTTAAACTATAACATTTCTTATTTGTCACTATTTTTTATACTGATTAGACTTTTAGTAAAAGTCTCAAAGTGACATAAAATATTATACTTTTTCCAGCTTCTTAAATCTGACGATTACAACAATTATTGTGGAGAAAAATATATTTAAATAGTACTAAATATAAATGCCTTACCAGAGTTATGATTAGATGATGAAGGTGTTTGGTGAATGTTTTGAATAGAACCACTACTCCCACATCTAGGATACATTTTATTACATAGATTTAACACCTATTTAATATTATGAAACTTCTGCTAAATACAGTCAAAATCACTTGCAAATTTCATTGCCTACTGTTTACCATTTTAGTGTCTAAAGGTCGGGTCTAAACAAGACTAAGAATTACTTTTCAAAGCTTTGCGGTGTTTGAAAAAGTGTTTTTGAGATATTATATAGAAGACCACTTAAAATTTAAAAGATATTAGATAAGTTAATTGGTTAGATTTTAATTTAAAAATTATTATATAATTTTATTTTGCTGTGTCAGATTCATCAGTCAAACTGACATCAACGTCATCATTCAGAGAAATAATCACGTTAATCATAATTTGAAATGTCAAAATTGTTTGCCAGTATCGTCAATTTATATATATTTTTCTGTATTTGTAGGTAAATTTAGTTCAATAAAAAAAGGAAACATAATTTTTTTAATTTAAATTTACTGTAGCCCTCATTACTAATTTCTAACTCATTAAAGTAGTAGTAGTACCAATTTTGTTAGATGTTTTCAATCACTGATTTAGTTGAAACTAAATTTGGAACGACGTTTGTTTAAAGTTCTACAATATACTACGTTACTTTAATAATGTGGTCATCGCCGACTACGTACTACGTGAAGGGTAGAACATAGTACCGTATTTTCATAAAAAAAAAATTAAAATCTCTTATTTTGTTGTTTAATGTTATATAACTCTAGTTTGATTACGTTTAGTGTTTTATGTTTAATGCTTGCCATACAGCATATGTCCTACTGTTCTCCGAAAGGAAAATTTATATACGTTACCCTGCGCTGTCCATTTATTTTGACTTATCGTATCTTACGAAGTCGTGTGTGCTGGTACCTCTGTCATTCTTGTTTTTGCCGTCAAAAAGCTTCTCAAGGAGGCTGTATTTTGTTGGACATAAAACTCCTTTGATATATTGACATATATTATTTGTATAAAAAAGAGAAAACATATTAATAAAAAAAAGGACGACTGCGAATAAAATGGTGTTTCCTTATTTGCCCTCTGCATAAATAAAATCCCAATAGCACGCTTCCACTGCGTTTATATCACCTAACAGTAGACCAGATATCACTTTTGCAATTTTATATTTAAGCCGTTTTCTAGATAAACCTACAGAGAGTGTTTGGAAGGCAGCTAAAAGAGTACTGCGGTACTTGAAGGGGACGAAAGAGAAAGGTCTAGTATACAGAAGGAGGAATAGTCAAGATTTAATAAAATTTTCAGACGCAGACTGGGCATCTGACAAAATTGATAGGAAAAGTACTAGTGGCTGTGCTGTATTTTATGCTGGAAAACTTATTTCCTGGTATTCTAAGAAACAAGCTTCTGTAGCCTTATCCACTGCTGAGGCTGAATACTTAGCCGGTGCTCTCGCTGTTTGTGAGATAGTTAATTTGAAGGGTGTCTTGTCAGATCTTACCTCACTAAATATAAATTATAAATTATTGATTGATAATCAAAGTACTCTGAGATTAATTGAAAGCTACGAAAATAGTAAAAGATCAAAACACATAGATATTAAAGCTCATTACGTAAAAGATATTATTGCTAAGAAAATAATTAATTTATCCTATATAGAAAGTAACAAAAATATTTCCGATGTATTTACTAAAGCTCTATCTTTCAATCAACATTCTTATTTAACTTTTAAAATGAATATAATGTAAACTCGACTTTTATTGTATTGTATAAATTTCAATTTAAGATTAGTGTTGTTACACCATCTATCGATATTATATACGGTGATGCTCGATGTATGTTCGTATGTATCATAGTAACAATTTCAAATTTACTAGATTAGAAATTGAGGGGGGATGTTGGACATAAAACTCCTTTGATATATTGACATATATTATTTGTATATAAAAAGAGAAAACATATTAATAAAAAAAAAGGACGACTGCGAATAAAATGGTGTTTCCTTATTTGCCCTCTGCATAAATAAAATCCCAATATATTTTACATAGTTGAAGGGTAGTGAAGTTACTGAATTTGAAGCCATGACGCCTTAGTCTATGTGCAGTTCATCTATATAAGCCTAATGGTACGTTATGACATGTACCATTAGGTCAAGAAAGCCGTAAACTTGTTTGCCATTACAATTAAATAAAAAATCATATTGATTTGGCTAATCATTAATAAACATTGCTGTTATTTAAATATGTATAGGTACTACCTCATTGCCTGCTAATTGCAACGAATTACAAAAGATGTACTTTACTTTAAAGAATATCCCGGAAAACGAAAGTTTTTGCAGGGGTTGCCACTGCAGAACCTTTCCTACCAATGGTTATAGCATACTCCAGATAAAGTGTTCGTTTATGTATTATTTCCTAAATGAATTCCATTTACTTCCTTACTTACACTGCAAGCAGTAAGCTTCCCCTTAGCGCTTGCAGTGTAAGGCCACTAAAACGCTTAAAAGCAAAGTTAAAGATATTCGTTTTTTACTTTGTGATATATTGGATGAAAAAAAGTAGCAAATAAATAATAAAAGGGAATTATTATAATACTCATTGATAATTATCAAATTCCGACTTTTTTGTCATGACATAAAAGTACTATTCCCACCAATCTAGAATATTTCTGTGTAGGTACCGGATAGTATTAAATTAGGTACAAGTATTGGAAAATATATATTTAGTAATAGATAAATAAACATTATGCACATTATTGTCTTTATGGCAATTTTAATGAATGCGATAGAATGAAACAAATAGATAACTAGTTAATTTAAACCGCAACTGTATATTCTTAATGTTTATGTTAAATAGTTTGGACATACGGTTTAAATTCTTACATATATATTAATATACATTAATACTAAATGTACATTCAATTATCGACTATATATATTGTTTCATCATAATACACCATCTATAATATAATATAATTAATTGTAATTATTTATTGTAATCAGGAATAGGTATATCTAGTCGAAACCAATTAAAATTATGATTTAACTATGCATTAGTATTCTAGTCAAATATTAAAATGATAACTTGAAATTGGAAATTATAAAATAGGCACGGCAACCCCGTTTGCTGCAACAAGCAAGTAACCAACCTACCCGTCTTGAATCCAGTTTAACCACACTTCCAAAAAAAATACTTTTTGTGAAAGCGTAACGCGTTTGAAACTACTGCGTCTCATTATTACTTTCTTACAAAAGAAAATATTTGATATAATTAACAAAACATGTACATGAACTCTTGAGTGAGTGATTTATATATTTCTTTACGTAGTTCACCAAGCATTAAAAAGATAACATAGATGTATTTTCAAGTGATTAGGTACGATCTAGCTGTCCATGGCCACCATTTTAGAATTTCTTTGGTAGAGCATCCTAATAATTTGTTTTTATTATATAAAAAAGAGTTTATTGGCGGATCGTATAAGCATTAATTTTTGTTTAATAGACTTTAAACTAACTGCAAAAAATAAGCGTTGGTTATAAATGGCTACATAAAAGTTTATTTTACTAGGTACTTTAGGTAGTCAATAGGTAGTAAAGACGTATGCTTAGTTTTCAGAAATAACCATAAAGTAAACTGAAGAACATGGTGTCGACGAGGCAAATGAGTAGCGTTGGAGGTAGCAGTGGTAGTAGTGATGGTGCTGGGCCCTCGCATGCGGAGCCAGTGGCTGTGTCCCGCGTGACTCGTCACTCTAGTGCTTTGCTCCCGGGTGGTTCTTCGCCGCATTCCAGCTCTTCAAAGTGCAACAGCATAGTACCGGCTCCGAAAAGTTATACCACAAACTTACTTGATTTGCCTATTGAACTTGTGGATAAGATCTTTAGCTACTTGGGATTCAAAACTGTCTCTCAACTCAGGATGGTTAATATTTTATATCTATTTATCTGCTTTATTTTCACAAAGTGTGTCTGATTCTTAAATAACAATTGCTAAACAATAAACTTAATAATTGTTATTTAAATTCTTTGCAAAGTTATATTCAAAATAATTTATTCATGTAGGACTTTTTTTGCCAAGTTTTTGTCAATCACTAGCATCCATTTTAACTGTAGGTATACTTCTTATTTCAATAAGTTATTAAAATTATTTAGGGTATTTAAATATTGGAAAATACAAATACAGTATAGCAATTAATAAACAACTGAAATGGTATATTTCAATATTAGTATATTTTATAGTATTTTAATATTTAGGAAAGGTAATATGTAAAAATGTTATAAATGGTTTTATTTATGTGTGAACAACTTCATAATCTTTCTCATATATGCCAGTTAATTTAAGATTACAGTGTGTCAGTAATAATCAAAGGGAACCCCTTTGATTATTACTGACACTTAGTTTTGAAATAATTATTTTTATCATAATCATATATAATCAAATGTGATGGTGAATTAGTGGTTATATATTTTGCAATGACTTGTAATTTACTCTCTGCCTCACAAAGTTTCAGATTTGCACTGTTCTGCTTTGGAAATTGATTTTTACCTATTTCTACTATAAAATATAATAGGAAAAAACAAAACTACAGCATGTAGTCATATACATAATTTTAAAAAGATATGTTAAAAAAATATTCTTATTTTATTGATTCTGAAGACCTGATATACCTAGCATTAGTGCTGGGCAGAGTTACTGTTATGATAAGGAATTTATAATATATTTCTATAGATAGATTAGAAATATTAATATTTCTATATATTATAAATTCCTTAATTTTCTTGCAACATTGATGTAGTTATATGGAATAGCATATTTTAATAAAAAATAAAACAATATTGTTATTGTTTACAGCACACTTTATATTATAAACATTATCCATATAGATAATACATATGTACAAGTGTTACATGGCTGGTCACATGGCATGTGCATGTTTTATAGCTGAAGTTAGTTTCTTGTAATTACTTTTCAATTATTTTGTTTGATATGTTTTCAGGTCAATCGGCAATTTAATACCATATGTAGTTCTATTTTAAATTCTACTTTTCAACGGCTCCAAAACCAAATGCTGCATAGATTTCAATCTATCAAAGCTAAGATGCCACGGCGGGAGTCTGCTCGTAGGAGCCATCCTTTAGCTTGTGAATCTGATATAATTGAAACACTGCATATGAGACTTAGTCTCTTGCAGATGACATTTGGAAAACACATTGAAAGGAAACATTGCTGTTTTTTCCCAGGAGAGGTAAAGTATTATTTTGCCTATATAGTTTTCTGCATAAATATTGTTTTATGGGGACTCATGAATTTTCATTTCATAAATTTTAGCATAATTAAGATCTATGGGCAACAACTTGTGAGTTTTAATAACAAACCAATGTTTGTGTATAGACATTGTTACATTATAGACATCATAAGAAACACTGCATTTGCCTTTTTTTCCATTTTATGATAGCTTATTACATATTACCTTGATGGTGGACATGATTTGGAATAGGTTGTTTTACTTTGTCTAGTCATTTGTTGGCTTATATATTGAAATTTGTTCTCATGGTTATAATAATATTAGCACGCTAAAAAGTGTTCTAAAATATTTTTATATTGCTAGTTATACATATTTGGGCGTAGTACTAATTACTGAAAGCATCTCGTATTTTAACGACGGGATTACAGTTTCTGTGGTAAATAGAGGTGTCAGAATGAAGCACCGATAATTTAGTATATTTGTTTCATTATTGTGTAGTACAAAGGAATCATAAAAAAATCTGTTTAGGAATTATGGAATATTCATGTAGCCTACAAATAGATAAATTCTTTTTAAATTCATTTCTAGCTAAGGCATTGACTTGCAAATAAAAATATTTATAACTATGCCTTGTAATTGCCCTTTTACTTGCCTTATTGACTGTAAGTTGTAAATATTTATACTAAAAGATAAGATCAGATCTACCTGACCTTATGTTCTACCACACCCAAGATATAGACTTATTAAAGTCTCCATTATATTAAAAAAAATACAATGATAATTTCATTAATAATTTATTGTAGAACCGTTTAAATTTTACGTAGGTATTATATATAGTATTATTAAAGGTAAATAGCCCATCAAAATATGACTCATTAAGTTGCTGTCATTATAGTACAATAATTAAGTATTTTAATTTGTTATTTTAGATTCTTGATGAGGTATACAGTATACTGTCCTACTTAAAAACGACCACTAAATTGGCGAGGCCTTATAAAGTAACTGATGAGCTCTTTGATTTGACCACAATGGCCATGGAATACTTCAAAGAGCACATTGAACCTAATTTGCCGGAGATTACTTACTTTGGCACAGATTTCTTTGACATTACTACAGCTTTTTCTCGTAAGTACTTCTGTTATTGTTTAGTTTCGTGTTCCTTCAATATTTCATACTATTGTTATTACATGTACAAAAATAAAAGGGTATACTTGAAATAGGTGCCTAATTTCATTATTAAATACATAGATAGTATAGAAGAAATAATTTTACTGAGTTATACATATTAAAAGGAAATGTAAATGCACAAGCGCATAAAATGCTGATAATCTTTTTTATTATTATTTTACGTCTTATATTCAAGGATATTAATTAATATCTAATATTAACTCACAAATTCTTATAAGAATTTAGAATGGGCCTATGATCGCTCAGTAAAATTCGCGATTTGTATCCAATCTCAAGATAGAAACTCAAACTACCTAGACTTATTTTATCAGCAATATAGATGATTCAATTCAGAATGTGAATGCATAACCTTTACTAACTTCTGGTAAAACCTTTCAGCATGATTATATTTAACATAGAATTATGCTTAAAGGTGTTTGTGATGCCTACACTATTACTATTGTTGTGTATATCTTCTAATTAGAAGTCATATTTCTTCTATTCTATTATAGGTATCATCTGAAAAAGTAGTTAACTATATTAAAATTAAAACATTGCAGCAGGTGAGAGTAGTAAGTCATACATGTGCTTGGATTCACCCCCGCCGAGTGGCTTCGAGTCGTCTTCCCAGCAGCAGGGCGGAAACTCGTCGGGCGATCGTCGTGTGTCTTCGCTCAATCTCTACATGGAGGAAAGCTTGCCACCTTCTCCGCCACCACCACAAAGCAATATGGTGCTCAGGAAACGGATACACCGCATCAAACAGGGAATGAAAAAGTAATTTTTGAGCATTATTTGAAATAAATGTAAAAAAATTCATTTTGTATAGTTTTAGAATAATACTTTTAGGCTGCATTTCATTTAGAATAAGTGAGTAATAGTGGAGAAAAAAATTTTTAGTAAATAAATGACTTCAGTATCTCTTGTTTTGTACAGAAGTTGATGTAAGGTAAGTCATGATAATAAAATGGTTTCACAATTTACACACAATTGATGAAAACTGTTACTTAATTCCAGTATGATTTACACAAGCACTAGCATTTATTTACGAGTTATATACATATATTTCTTAATGTGTGATGGGAGTGAGAATATATTGTGTCAGTTCTCCCTATTATACACAACAAAGATAATACCTGGTGTATTATCTTTGTTGTGTATAATAGGGAGAAGGAAACTCTAAAGTTGTTTTGTTATATGATTATTATCTCTAATTTCTAAAACCACAATTTTTGTTGTAGTTCCAAATTAGTTAAAATACTAATAAAAATCTGACATACATATTCATATTTCACAATATGCTCGTCTTCTTTTTTAGATATAACGATCAATTGTCAGCGCTACGTAGCGACCTTCGTAATTGCAAACGCAAGACAGCTCTGCAACAAAAGCAAATTGCTGAACAACAAAAACAAATAGCTGAGCAACAGAAACAAACATTGGAGTATGCCAACCGGCTTGATGATTATGACAAGAAGAATGAGGAAACAAGCCGCAAGTTTCAAACTTTACTGCAGGTACAATCTGCTACATATTATGTTAAAATATGTAGAAAATTTGTTAGTTTTCTTTGTAAGAGTCGACTTAATGAAGTTTTGGTTCGTCGGGAAGCTAGACCAACATTCTCTTATAAGGAATGATCTATATTTAAGAGTAACACATTTATATGTGGCGTAGCAAATAATCTTACGTGTATTTTGTTGAAATATCTTAACAACGCAAACTTTAGTTATTTAATTTTTATTGTATAATATATATAAATTTATAAATATTTTAAATAAATACTTATTATTATAATGTCACAAAGAACACAATGTTGTATATACATTGTTTTCATTTTGATACAGAGATCTTCTAAGATTATTTTTAGACAATTTTTCATAATATGATGTGTACAAATAATAACACTACTGCATCGTTTTCATTTATCTTATCATAGTAAACTGTCTCAAGGTCATAATTTTTAGCAAATTTCCTTTCCTTAGTTGTATGGCTTGAAGAGTGAGAAATATAAAGGGCATCATGGGTTTTCTTTGTTGTTAGTAGTGCTTGTTATTACTAGTTAGTCAGCAAATTGTTTGCTAAGATAAATAAATTTATATATTCATTGTGTTTCAGGAGTTGAATAAATGTAAAACGGAGCTACAATATTGGCGATCTCGGTCACCAGCCGTTCCTCCATTGTGTGCGGAATGCGGAGCTTCGCTCAGCGTCTCCCCGGCGTCGTCTCTTTCACAAGTAATAAGATTTTAAATTAAGTAGTTCAGTCGTTCAGTATCTATAGCGCAAGTTCTGTCTAGCGTGTGAGGATAAATTCCCTAACAATGTATTCTAATCAAGCGACACGAACATTGACTGTTTAGTGGACGGCCGGTACGAGCGCCGAGGCGAGTGAAGAGGTCCTCGGCGCCAGTTCGGCGGGGGCCAGCAGCGCGGGCGGCGCGGCGGACGCGGCCACCGAGCTGCCGACCAAGGCCGAGCTGAAGGCCGAGTCGAGCGGCGACGACAGCGGCACGCCGCCCTCCCGCCGCCGGGCCTCCGCCGACACCGCCGCCGGCACTCCCGAGCGGAAGAAGCGTCGCCTCACGCGTCCGCGCAAGCTTTGAGCGCCCGCCCGCTACCGCTTCCGCCTCCGCTCTCATCCCGGCCGCGATACCCGGCCCCGCAGGACCGACCGGCGACACCGAGCTGATAGGTGAGTGGGTAGTGATCATACTATATTCACGGAGAAGAGCTGATATGGAAAAAATGTTACTGGCATACCATTCACCGAGGATAGAGGCAAATATTGAACACAATAGCAGTCATGAAGAGGGTTCTATTGAGACTTTGTCATTGTGTAGTTTGTAATCAAAACAATATTGAAAATATCAAATTAAGTTTACTGAAAATTACAAACCACCACACTGTATTGGCATTTATCTTAATGCTCCTGTTGATGATCACTTATCTTTGTTGTCTTCATCTTTTCTATGAAAAGAAAACACTTTTATTAGCTTCTCTTTGTGAATAGAGTGGACTCGCTTACTAGCTCGTATTTGATTGGCTATGTGATTATAAGCCATAATTAGTGATTCTGTTCATTGGAAGCGGTCGCGTTAATCGTTCTACGACCGTGTTCATTAATATCCAATACTGTAATAATCTTCGGCGGTATACAGTAAACATTCTGAATGCGGTCAAATAATGCTGTAGAGGCATGTTAGACTTTCATGTAAGCCTATCGTGAGAAATTAGAAAATAGATTGTGGTTTTTGGTTTGATATTAGTATGATTTATATCATTGACAGAACCAGAAAACCATCATCTGTCTTCCATTAATGCTTGTTTCAAGGAATATTTTTATAAAACAACATGGTTGAAACAAAGTTTGTTTTCGCATGGCGAATGATGGAATGCATAGCTTTCCATCAGTGAAATCTCCACTAATTAATACTAATGATTATCACTTTATAAGTCTATTCACATGGAAGGTGTCGGACGATAAATATTTCCATCTATTTTTGAGAATTTGACTTATTTGATGGTGAGCTTTGTATAATAATTCCATGAAATAATAAGTCAGTAAGATGGGTTAGGAATATGTCATAAGAAAATGCATAAAGCATGACTTGTTTATGAATTACTTAGTTGATTAAAATAATGATCTTTTATTAACTTATAATAATTAATTTTTTGTAAGCAATTCTGTGATTATTCTCATTTGAGCTTGAGTTCGTAAACATAAATATCCTGATCTGTGTAATTGCAGTTATTTTCACGAAATTTTAATAAGATTATCTTAATTGTAATTTCTTCTATTTTTTTGAAGTAAAAACAAGTTGTCTAATATTTATTAACTGTGAATAATATTTTAAATTTGACAATATATTCTTATTGATTTAAACCACAGATATGGACTTAAGTCAATGTCGTAACTGCATATCGCAATGCTTTTGCACATCCTTTGCCTCCTTAAGGTATCATTGTAGTCCACAAAATTTAGATTGAAAGAATATCAAAGGGGTTGTTTAATATGAGTTCAAGATCTACACCCATAGAATAAAAAATATCAAATTAGAATTATTTGAAGAACTATTTGAAACCCTAGAATTGAACAATTTATTAATTTGTTCTGTCTATCAGTTCACTAATGATAAGTGTGAGGTCAGAAACATCCTGTTGGATGCATTTTTTTGCATTCATTTGAAACAATGCCTTGAAGAACAGTTTATATTTATAACACCAATTACATTATATTTAAGAAGGGAACCGCCTGCTACTTTGTAAAACAAAACTTATTTATTAATAGTAAAAGTACTATCAATAAATATCTGTTGTGACAACAAGGCGACTGAACAAATATACCAATTTGTAATAAATTTAGGTACTTGCGACGTCTATAACTGTCCATTTCTGTATATAAAACTCATTTTATGTATATTTTTTGTAATATTATATTGTTTATAATAGTTTCTGTTTAAAAAATTTATTAATTTTAATCAACTTGTAGAAATGAACCAAGTCTTGTGCCAGACATATACTATCTAAAAATTTGTGCAATTCTTTCGAAATACATTATACGCGAGAGGAGCATGCGTATTTTAGGCGGTTTTTATATATCTAGACATATAAAAACCGTCAATATTTTATTAGTAAAACGAACTAAGCTAACTGAATCACATTACTTGTTACCAATATAAAACTTGAAAACAATGTTTTGGCTATTATAAACATATAATAGTTTTCTTCGATATAATTGTAATCTACTAATGTAAACATATTGTTGTAATTTCTACATATGCTTAAGTGACAGTTATAATTGTAAATTACTGACTCGAATAGAAAATCACTGATTAAGTAGGAGCTGTAAACAATACAAATACTATACAATTTTAATTTATTCAGAGATGTTTAACACAGAACATATTTATAAATAAATTCATAGACAGTAGACAAAATCAACTTACAACGACAATTTTATTCTTTATTATAGAGTTATTGCTATTTTGTTTTTATGGTAGTGGTTATAGAATTGTTTATTATTAGTCTCAAGCTTCCTTGCCGGGTCAGCATCGTTGTATTTAATAGGATAGGCTTATTCGGAATTTAATTTACAAATATTTTAATTAGAGACTTTGTTTAACTGTTATTTTTTTAAATATCTCACATAAAATCGTATCACTTAAGTATATTGGAATTATATTGGAACTCTGAAATGAACACAGCGGCTGCAGGCGACGCTCATGGCTAGCCTACGAGTTTTCCCTTGATCCATTTAAATATATAAAATGACCAAACATTGTCTCCTAGCTGACTGTGCTTACGGACCAATACAAAAACTACCGTTAACAATGATTAAACCAATTCAATATTATCTCCCAGAGAAAGTGAATTGCTTAAAGTTTAATTTCAATAAATATGTATAATACCTATATATACTGAGTTCAATCAGTTAATTAAATAACAGTAACCACTCCACAAGTATGAAAATGCCGTCTTATTTTACTTATGTAAAATACATTATTTAAACGGGTAGGTAAACAAACAAGAAAACGGAAAACAGATTAACACACAGTTGTCTTTTGAATTTATTGCAAGCGTTAATAAAAAAAGTAATAACATGCATTTCTTAAGTTAACAGTGAATATTCCCTAATAACTAAGTTTAAGATTATGTTGAGTCCACTCAAAAGATATAAAAAAGTTTTGGTTTCCGTTTACACAATTGTGCATTTCATACGTATGAACATATTTTTTAAAGAGTGCATCTGTCTTGGTTTAAACCTTAAAATGCAATGATATCACGGAATTTGAATATTGCGTTTTTGCACAAATCGAATATTTTGATATTTGTGGAGAAAATCTGATGTTGGTTCCGTGTGACATCTCATCTGTACAGTCTTCTATCAATTTCAAGTTTTCATTAAACTATATATATGGCAAAACGAAAATTTTGTAGTTTCCATATACGTAAAAATTCTTAACATCATATATGTTGTAACTATTAAAATATAGTTTATATGGCAAATATTACTACTTGTAATGAATGACATACATTTAGATTATCAAGCGTCGTGTAAAATGACGTAATAGCAAAAAGTGCACTCGAGTCACTGCAATCTAATTTTCAGACATTGTATGATTAATATAAATAGTCAGTAAAAATCCCATTGATTTTACACTAACAATTCAGATTGGCGATTCGTAATTAGGTAAGTAGCTGGGAACCTATTGTTAATTGCCAATGTAATTTTTAATAACAATTATATTTATTGCAAGCATTAATAGGTAATCGCACATATTTCCTACAACTGTGCACTAAACCTAAAAGGATCTGCTTCATATATTATAATTTAGTGAGACTATTTTAAGGATTACACTGAAAAGCAATACTTATTACAAAATACCATATAGATACTAACAGATCTTATTAAGAAAAAATATTTCTCTACCTAGTTAGTTTATCTAAACAATAAAAACTATTATCATATGATCACTCAATAACAGAAACATAAAATAAAAAAATATTACATGCCAATTTGAAACGATGCTTTATTTATTCATGCCTTTACTATGCATAGTATTGTACAGTTTTTATCAGTCGACCACCGTAGCGGAAACATATTGCATATAATGATTCAGGGCAGTATTTATATACCAAATGACTAGATAGATTTCTTTTATAATGAAATAAATATGACGTGTTTAGTTAATATTGCGATTTACTGCGGTCCGACACAGCGGTTGTGTTAGTAAGACGGTATTGTTATGCCGTAATCTTATTTATATACATCTTTTTATACGTAACAGAAGTTGTACGAGAATTATTACATTATCAAATATACGGGATCAGCTGTGGCTAGATCAATTTATCTACTTATGAAACTACATAGTTAAATACATTTTTAATATTACTCTAAAGCTTTCATAGTAATAACGTAGTAAGATTAGGTTTCTTTTTTACCTTGTAATTGTACTGTATTGCAAAACAATATTATCTCATATATTTTGATATTGTAATAATCCTTATTAGGGCAGATTTTAATAATAAAAAGTACATCTTAGTCCCTATTATAAAATAATGTGAAATATCATACTTGTATGAATTATATTATTATTGCATAATTTCGAATAAAGGAATGGTAAAGTAAAGAAGGTTTCTTCCTCAGACGCAGTTTATTATATTCAAACGATGTCCGAAGTTAATGGATGTAGGCGTACTATGTGTGTTTTAATTCAATTGTTTCCATCCATTTTCTTCTATGGTTTTGGAGCGTCAGAAATATTTTCTTTTTATGTAATTGACTGTACTGTTTCCACTGTACCAGTTAATTTTTAGTTAATTATAGGTTTTACAGCCCTGATTATTTTAAGTATCTTAGAATTTAATGAGAATGTGAATAGGGTGAAGGTTGCAACATTGTTTATTTTGTAAATAGTTAAAAGAAAAATAAAATCACATGTGTAATGTACAAAAGAATATTATATTTATGATTATATACTTAAATATACAACTGTGTAAATTAAATATTTTTGTGACATGGTGTATTGTTAAGCGACAATAGTTGCTGAGAAAAAAATATTTTCCATACTGTCATGTTGTAAAGGATGAGCTGATAGGGCTTCACACAGTTTTTGCATCATGTCACTCAACAACTTTGAACATATCAACCAAATTCAACCAGTCATCACCTTACAGGTTACTCAATATACACATAAAATAATTAGTATGTTTTGTATCAAATACGCACAAACTGATTTCAGTTTATATATCAATTAGGTAATACATGTTGCGGCCGATATTTATCCATATTGCCAATTTATCGAATTCTTCAGTTCACAAAGAAAATCCGTTTGGGAAAATGCCCAAAAAATTTTTAATGCACCCATTTGCATTTAAATGTATATATGAATTCTTTTGTACACCGAAGATAATAACTTATCTTAAATGAAAGTAAATTTTTCGTGGTATTTTCATATTAAAAGTCATAGTTACTTTAATAGCTTCTAAATTTCCATCTGGCATTTCGCTGGAGTATTCCATACTTTGACTTCTGTATTTTACTACATTCTGCGTAACGACGGCAAGTTTGTTTATCTACATATTATTAATGCAAATAACCAACAAAAACTGACATAATTACAATGCTCAAAGATTTCAATTTTTTGTTGATGAATACGATATTAGTAGGTATTTTATAATTATTTTAATATGGATAAACATCTGCAAACAAAAAAAAATATCCGGGCTTTCTATTATAAATATAAATATACATTATCGTTGTATTATTTTATTCAGAACTGTTTTATTAAATGAATCATAGATTACGATATACATATGATATCATATATATATGTTGCAATAAGGCCCCCATGCATATAAGTATATAAATAGCAGTGGCACTAAATATTCTTAATATATTTTCGACATTATAGAGATAGATATATATATAATTTTCATTCTAGCTAATGTCTCAGTTTTTAACATATTCAGTTATCGAACAGATTTACCAGGCGCATCAAGATGACGTATTGACAATAAGTGTTGTAAGTTACCAAATATCTGTCAGGGCTGCCACAGTAGTGAACATAAACATAAAAATTGCCTTATAAAGAATGCTTTATATTACGACGATCACCTAACTGGCGCAATTGTATATTTTTTAAGATTGAACAATTCGAGCAAATGGGTAATGTTCGTGCGTGTTCTAGTATAGCGAACGAAGCGCTTGTTCAATCTTTTTGCCATGTTATATTGTGTATATAGTTACGATTGTACATACTATGTATGCTGTGTGTAGAACTGTAGATTGTTTCACATTCTTAGAATTGTAAGACAAATTTAATGAATACAAAAAAGTACACAGATTATTTTTATTATAGTTAATCTAATTTTGAAATCTTTCTGAGAATGTTTAGTTCCTGTGTTGATGTTAGGAACATTATTTTATTTTTTTAATTGTGGGATATAACTGTGACTTAATTTAGTTCCTAACATCTATACCGGATAAATTGAGACATTTGTTAACGGTGCAATTGTGTACATTAATTGTAAC